GATGCACCCCCCGGAGCCGGGCCGGGTCGGCGGAGGTAAGTACCGAGACCCGATTTATTTCATTTTATCCCCAAAAAAGGTATGCAGCCCCCGCCCGGACCCCTCTTCCATCAGCCCAGCCTTTCCCTGCAGTGGTTTCTCACAGCCAGGCAGGGAGGCGGGTGGCTCATTGCCCCCCCAGCCGGTCCCCCCGCCGTCCCCTTGTCACCGCATCCGAGATGTCCGCGCCAAGCGAGGACACCCCCATCCACCCGGCACCGACCCGCGCACTCAGCAGCCCCTTGTTTTCCATTCCTCATCTTCCACCTCGCTTTTGAAAACCACCTGTGATTCTTCATCCACAGGATACCCCCCTCCCACTAACGCTGCAAGACACTGCAGCCCAAAGAGATAAAGTCCAGCAAAGTTTCAGGCTTAATATCGCAGGTTTTGGGCAATCCCATTACAGTCTTTGCTATTGCTTCTGCTAACGAAGCTGGCTCATGTGGGTGCACCTGATGCCAACTGGCCAGAGCATCTTGCCCCAGCAGCCCTGATGCTTCCCTGCCTCTCCAAGAGGTTCCTTCTCCCGTGCCAGTGCTGCAAACCTCCCTGGTGCCTTTCTGAAGCCCCGCTGGAAATGTGTTGGCCAAATCCTGCTGGGCAGGGCCTCCCTGCATGCCAGTGCCTCGGGGAAGCCGGTGGTCCTGGCAGCTGGGAAAAGCATCTTGGCTGGTGAGCTGAGCACCAGCACGGGGGTGGGGGATGACACGGCCGCCCACCATGCAGCAGCTTTGCAGTGTTTTCTCAGAGCAGGGCTGACCTGCAGGCAGTTAGGCTGAACCTTAAAGCAAAAATATGCCTTTCCTTGCCTTAAAATTGCAGCCTGGGTTTGCCTGGAGTAAGTCCCATCACTGCTGCAGGCAGCTCCTTGCCTGCACTCGGCATCCTCCTGCGTCCCTGCCTGCGTAAAGCTGGGGATACCCAAGAGTGGAATCTGCACAGCCTTGCTCCCCCTGCTAAATCTGTAGCGACAAAATGCCATCCCCTCCTCCATCAGAAGCTCTCAGCATCCCAGATAATGATCATAATTCTGTATAAATATCGCTTTGTATGTAAGGGGAAGGTAAGGTCTCCTTTGTTCCAGCCCACCTCCCTCAGGTACTGTGGCTTTGCCAGGGAGAAGAAGATTTTCACAGAATTGTCTAGGTTGGAAAAGACCTTGAAGATCATCCAGTCAATGATCTTCATTTTAGAGGATGTCAAATTGCAAACCTCGACTACAAGGAGAAGCAGCAGCAGACACCTGGGAGCAGGGATGCTTCCAGGACGGCCGTGCTGGGGACCACATGGATACAGCTCCTGCACAGCCAGAGTGTTGGGGTATCGGGATGTGGATTTCTCGTCCTTGCATCACGCCTAGAAAAAAAATCTCATCAGAACAGCATGTCTTTGGGGCTGCTTTAATTCCTCATTAAAATAAAGATATAAAATAATAATTCAGCTGAGGTGCTGCAATACCTTGGGCTGCATAACCCAAGGAGGAGGATACTTGTTAGGGCACTGAGATGATCCCAGCAGGACGTGTTGAGCCAAGCTGGGCGCAGGTATAAAGATGAAAACCCACCTCTGGGGGCATTAAGAAATTAAGGGAATAATCACTTTATATTCTCCCAGCTTCATTTTTCTGCCTTCCCTTCCCCAGGCCCTTCCAACAGCACCTGGCCCAACTCCACCACAAGCGAGAGCCACCTCCTGAGGGAGAACTACACCTTCTCGGCGTACTACCAGCACTCCTCTCCCGTGGCTGCCATGTTCATCCTGGCCTACACCTTCATCTTCCTCATGTGCATGATTGGCAACATGCTGGTGTGCTTCATCGTGGTGAAGAACCGCCAGATGCGGACAGTGACCAACATGTTCATCCTCAACCTGGCCATCAGTGACCTGCTGGTGGGCATCTTCTGCATGCCCACCACCTTGGTGGACAACCTCATCACGGGTGAGCGGGGCAGTGGAGGGGCAGGATGCAAGGGGGAGAGAGAAAATAGTGGGGACCATCACCCACCTTCTGCCCCCTATACGTAAGGTCACCCTGTGAGTCATTTTTTGCTGAGGATGAGGAGGAGCAATTGGTGGCCACCCAACATCTGATGAAACGTATAATTTCATTTAAAGCTACTATTTTAGGGGGAAAATATCCTCTTTTTTTTTTTTTTAGGTTTTGGATATTTTTGGCAAAATAAGTATGACCTTAACGCTTCATTTACATATTTAAACTTCAGCCATCCTCCGTCAAGGAACACTGAAAAAACCCCTCTTCTTTCATCAGTCTTTTCCTGTGCTAGCTCAGCTCTGCCTGTTGACCTTTCCAAAGATAAAAAGCAACAATGGCACAGTTGGTGGAGTTTAACACAGCAGTAGCCAGGGCATGGGGCAGAGTCTGTATTTATTACAGGGTGTGATTTATTTATCACCAACACCTTAGCATTGGGGTCAAGAAACAAGAAGAAAGCTCTTCTGATTGAGGATCCCAAGGTCAGTCCCCTTGATAACAGCTCAAGCCCTATGCAAAGGTAGGAGAAATGACAACCACTGGGCTCCTTGAGTTTCTAAGAAGTGTAATATGCATCTTTTTAAACAATTTTTCTCCAAGCACCTGTACTGCTTGGATCTGTAAGGCCATCTCTCTATGAGCCAAAAATGCAGCCCCCCCCTTAGGAGCAGGATTTAGCATCCCCCAGCAATGACACGGTGGATGGGGACATCTAGAGGGAGCTGCTGATGGACCTGGCTGAGCCAAAGGCACCTACAACCTCCGGTGTTCCCTCGCAGGTTGGCCCTTTGACAACATCATGTGCAAAATGAGCGGCCTGGTGCAGGGCATGTCTGTCTCCGCCTCCATTTTCACACTGGTGGCCATCGCCGTGGAGAGGTACGTTGGCGCATGCATGCAGGGACATGGGGACAAACCCACCACCAGGGTGTTCAGGTGTCCCGTGCAGTTTCCATCATGGGAAAGCTCCTAGGGATGTCAGGAGCGTGTCCCAGCTCTCCAGGAGAATCACAAAGCTGTCCATGAGGCATCCCAGCAAGGTGTCCTTTCCCACCTTCGGCTGAAAACACAAAAGCTGGAGAGATCCCAACCCATCTCTGACACCAAAAGCCATATGTAAAGAGCAACCCACCTTACCCTCCCTTCCCACACCCATGCCCTGGCTGCCCTCCTTCCCAGGGACATCCCACCAGATGTCCAAAGCCACCACCGTCTGCCCTCCTGCAGGTTTCGCTGCATTGTCCACCCCTTCCGGCAGAAGCTGACGCTGAGGAAAGCCCTGGTGACCATCGCCATCATCTGGGTGCTGGCCCTGCTCATCATGTGCCCTGCCGCCATCACCCTGACTGTCACCAGGGAGGAGCACCACTTCATGGTGGACACCTACAACAACTCCTACCCCCTCTACTCCTGTTGGGAGGCCTGGCCTGAGACGGGGATGAGGAGGATCTACACCACTGTCCTCTTCTCCCACATCTACGTGGCCCCCCTCGCCCTCATCGTTGTCATGTATGCCCGCATCGCCTTCAAGCTCTTCAAGTCAGCAGCGCCTGCCCATGGCCAAGAGGAGCCGGAGGGGAGGAGGGTCTCCCGCAGGAAGGCCAAGGTCATCAACATGCTCATCATTGTCGCCCTCTTCTTCACCCTCTCCTGGCTGCCCCTCTGGACACTGATGCTGCTGATGGACTACGGGCGGCTAAGCGAGGGCCAGCTCCACCTGGTCACCGTCTACGTCTTCCCCTTCGCCCACTGGCTGGCATTTTTTAACAGCAGCGCCAACCCCATCATCTACGGCTACTTCAACGAGAACTTCCGACGGGGTTTCCAAGAGGCCTTCAGGGCCCCTTTCTGCTCGCCCCACCGCCACCATCGCCACCGCGGGCCCTACAGCCCCAGGAGCCACAGCTGCAGGATCTTCTTCGGCGCCCGCAACCGCGTCTTCGCCCAGGCGCAGACCAGCGACTCGCCGCCGGCATCCGAGTCGGGCCCGTTAGCGCCACGCCACGCTGGCGTCCCCGCATGGGACGGCTGAGCGGCCACCGGGGCACCTGGGGACCAAGGGGCTTGCGGGACGGGGAACGGGGACTCGCTACGTCGTGGGCCGCGAATCGGTGAAATAAAGGCGCATCCCGTTAATGCCACGTCCCTCTCTTGGCTCCTCCCTGTCACGTCCCGCTCCAGTGAGGGGGACAAGTGACTCAGATTCGCAAATCCCCAATTGGAGCGGACAACAAGTCTCCAAGTTCAAGCATTTATTAACTACCTACAATGCACTAATTGAACACATGATAACTGGCTAAGTACAGAGCAAGCTGTGGCAAGCAATGTACTATGCTTTGCATTTCTTAATAGAAAAAGGAAAAGAGGGAGATAGAGGGAATGGGGGAGTACAGATCACCGGTCTGGATTCCTGCGCTGCTCCTGCTGGCGAGGATTCCAGGAGGCAGCTATCTTCTTCGCTGGCATCCGTCGTCTTTGCTTCACTGCTCTCTCCAGACGGCCGGGGGGGCAGGAAGAGGGGCAGAGAGAGAGAGAGAGAGCCCTTTCTTCTCCCCTTTGATTTATACCCACTTTCCTTGGGTCCATCCCCTAGGTCAACCCACAGACCTACGTATCCCATGTACAGGGAGGGGTAAGGTGTTTCATGGGATGATGTCACTCGCATGATCATGACAGCCCTCGTTAGCATATTGAGGGGTGTCAACTTTAATATGCATTCCGTGGATAATGAAGCAAAGTTCGTTCACCGGACACATGGCCCTTGAAATCTGCCCAGGTGCCCCAGGGCAGAGCCGTCCCATCTCCACAGGGCTCTCTCCCCCAGATACATCGGGCAGCCTTATCAGCTTCGGCCTCCACAGAAATCACCCTGTGACTCATGGTTTTGTCTTGGGAGTGTTTGAGGCAAATCTTCAATCAGCCTCAACTTTTGCTTTCCCAGGCTGTTTGTCTTAGTTTCTCACAGGCCTGGTTGCTCGGCTCTCACATCCCACCCCGTCCTGGATGCCACGGAGAAACACGCAGTCCTTTGCTGGACCACGGCTGTGCCACACTGCTGGGCTACCCGACATCTTGTCGAGGTGGCCACGTCGCGCGCTCGCGAGCGGGGCCGCGTGGCGCGGGGCGTTGCCAGAGGCGTGAGTTTGGCGCCTGCGCATTGGCCACGCCGCTGGAGGGGGCGTGGACAGAAGCGCGGGGGGTTTGGCGCCTGCGCAGTGACCACGCCGTGAAGCGGGAGGCGGGGTGTGTGGTGGCGCATGCGCAGTGCGGCAGCCGGCGGGCTGAGCGCGGCACGATGGCTGGTTACAGCGTGGAGGGACGTGCCGCTCCTCACAGCCTGGAGTATCGGCTCTTCTTCAGTGAGTGCTCGCTGCCTGCCTTCTCTTCTTTCCCCACGCATCCTCACGGGGTTGGGGGGTCGAGCTCCTCTGGAGGCATCCCCGCGGCCTGAAGGTGCGCCCCTCACCTGAGGCGGCCCCTCAGGCCGGGGCTGACTCGCTCTCCTTGCTTTGTAGAGGATGCCGCCGGGCGCTACATCTCCCCTTTCCACGATATCCCCATCTACGCGGATGCCGGCAAGGTAAGAGGGGAATTGGGGCTGGCTACCTTGCGGGGAGTAAGGGCCACCAAAAGCAGGTGGCTGGTGTGGCCTGGGGGTGGTGATAAGAGAAACCGCTGGAGCTCTGGGCCCTGGGGGTGTGAGTATTTTGTCAGTGCTCCTCAGGGAGTGCCGTTCTGTAAGCCTGAAATATCCGAGAGAGGCTCGTTATGTTGCTTTTCGGCAGCAGCACCCTAAGATTGCAAGATCCTACAAATAATGGGTGCCTCTCTCTTGAGGTCTCGGCCTCAGAGCGATGTAGAAGAGAACGGGTGACCTCATTCTCATCTTTGTGTCTGAGACGTGAGTGCTTGTCTTCAGCTTGTCCGTGAGGTCATATGAAAGTGTTCTGGGTCAAAAGAAGCAGTTTCTCATTTAGCTGAATACCTATATCCGCTTCTATGGAGGTGTATGCTTAAGGCTGTGTGATATTTCAGGCTGGGTTTTGACGGCAGTAGGGTCGCTGTATGCCTGCTGGATAATCAGCAGCAGAACAGAAGGTGAGGACGTTAAATTCTTGCCGTAGCAGCTCCTAAGGACCTCTTGCCTCGCAAGAAGTGCGGGAGGGGAACTTGCCGCATGCAGTGATGCAGAGCTTTTACATCCTTCCGACAGGCAGCAGTTAGTCAAATTAGGCTGCTGTGAATCACTGTCTGAGATGCCTCAGCTCTAGGAAATCAAAACGGCTGTGCTTCAGTTTCCACTGAATGCTTTTTTCAGCAGTAACTCGGGCTCTCTGGCTGTGTTCCTTACCTTTGTAGCTCGTTTCTTTTAACACGTACTAAAAAGCTCTGCAGCTTGAGAAACATAGTGGATGAACTGTTCTAATGTTCGTGATAAGAGAGTTGTAATTTGGAGTTAGGGAGTGGTTATGCAAAAGGAAAGAATTGATGAACCTCTAAAAAGTAGCTGATTGAGCTCTGAGGTGCAGATGTTGTCAGAATACGCTTTGGGAAGTCTGAGGTGTTTTTTGTCTGCTCAGAAGGGAAGAAATGGTTTGTAATCATCACGGACAGTGGCGATGCAGTTTCTGTGACCGACTGGGAAAGCAGGTTTCAGAAGCAGGTGTCGGAACGGTAACTCAGGCAAGGAAAATCCAGATAATATTATGCTTTGCTTGCAGAGCAGGGTAGTGCATATCGGGGTGAGGAGGGTTCCTGCAGACTGGTAATGATTAACAAGGGAAACTGAACCACTGGTGTGCCTTCAGGCACTTGGTGCTGCTTGTCAGCATCTCGGTGCCAAGCCTTTAAGAGCAGCAAGTGGCGCTAAAGGTTGTAGTCCCCGAAGTTACACAATAGTGCTGATCACTTAGACCTCTTTCTGTTGCTGGAGTGCCTCTCTGCAGAGATTTACTCGTTACTTAGCAGGTTCATTACCAGCTATAGTAGGGAGCTCAGCTTTGAACAAAAGGTTGTCTTACTCTGTCTGGGCTCCTTGATCTTTATCCTTAGACTTCTAAGACACTGAGAGGATTGCTGTGTGTTTTTTTCAGTCTAGGTCTGGGATGTGCTGACCTTACCTCTACCTGTGTGTCTTGGCATTGCAGAGCCATGACCTTGGGCTATTCACTGGGTGTCTTAGACCAAAGCAGATCTGTCAGTTGGACTGTGGGGAGACTTAACCTAACAAAGATGCACCCCCAAGTCATCTTTCCTTGCCTGCAAAGCTGTAAGCGCCCTGACTAACCAGTTCTGATTGCCTCATTCCTTTCCTCAAGTTACTTAAAAATAGTATATACCTTTTTACATATAAATTGCAAATGAGCAGTGACCCTTGTCAATTAAAGGGACGTAATTAAACTTATGTTAGGGAAGGGTGTGGGCAAAGTCAATGATGTAGCGGCACTCATTGCACAATAGCAATCTAATTATGGTGCAATACAGGTGTGAGGGATTTTGCAATGCTAATACTGCTTAATGTGGGGATTAGAAACCTTGTCGATGCTAGGGAGCAAGGTTTGACTTTTTATTAAAAGCCATAATCTCTTCAAACAGCAAATGTTAAGGTTCATGCATGAAAAGGTTGTTTTCTTGAAGAAGAGACTAGCATGAACTCTCATGAGGCCTCTCAGTCATCTGGAGTCAACAGGAGATGTTTTCATGCATCACATGTAAACTAGATACTGCAAGATGTGGTTCTGTGTTTCTCCTCCACACCTTTATCCTGGCACCATGCCGCTAACAAGGTCTGCTTTTATAGGAGCGTCAGCTTGGAGAGGAGGAGCTCTGGCATCTTTCCCTACTTCAAGACAGACTAGAATATCTGGGAGTGATGTTCTTGGTTGTTCAGGGTAGTACATACTTACTCCTCTAAGCCTTGTCTCTTCTAAATTGCCAGGGTGGCTCTTGCTGTAATATTAAATGCTTTGTATTTAATAACTATGCCTAAAAGATTGGTTTGTTATGTCCAGGATGGTTTGTGTGCAGCTGTCTTTGGTTCATTTAAACCCACTGTTCTGTGACCTGGGAACGCGATCAAGGTGTTCGTAGGTGGCAACTGATGGAGCGTGTGTGGGTGACCTCAGTCTAGCTTTTGCTGGTGTCTTTCGTGGATTCACCTTTGAGTGATGACATGGGACTGACTGGACTACGGAATTTCTATCAGCTGTATCAAAACTGTCACTGGAACAAACAGGAAAAAGAGTTACAGTTTTCATGCAAACTATCTGGCTTTCATGCTTACTTATACATGTTTTCTGGTTTAAAATGTGATCGTGAGATTCCTTGCCATTCACTGATACTTTGTTGTCTTCAGAATGTGTTCAACATGGTTGTGGAAGTACCTCGATGGACAAACGCTAAAATGGAGGTAACTATCACAATTCCTAGCTTAAGTGCTTGAGCTGACTCGTCTGTTAATCTTTGGCTTCGTTGATTCTCTCCCCCTCACCTCCACATCCTGAGGCAGAGTGGGCTAACATTGGTGGCTCCATAAATGGCAAGAAAATAATTCAGCCCCAATAAATAAGGCCTTTCAAAACCTGCCATAGTGTAGGCATCACATCAAGGAAGCTCTCTAGATGTAGCTCTAACTTCCCGTGTAAATACTCCCTTAATGCTAGAAGTCTAGGATGTAGGCAGAGACTTGCAGAAGCTGCAGTAACGTAGTGTTCTTCTCTGGCTTCTGATTAAAACAGAAGCTCGTGGCTCTCAACCCCACGTGCTTCTGACGTTTGCAAGTCTGCTGAAAACTATCCCAGGAGATGTTAATGCAACAGCAAGTGGAGTTGTCCAATGTCTGCTGTTGGCTTCGGGGTCAGCTCCTTGTCTCTTGCCTTGTCACTTAGCAGTCAGCTTAATTTTATAAAAAAATCTCTTGGTTTTTCTTGGAGAGCAAAGTAAAGAGATTTATGTAACTTTCCTTTCAGATTGCAACAAAGGATCCCTTAAACCCAATTAAGCAAGATGTGAAGAAGGGAAAACTGCGCTATG